GGTTCAGACAGTGCTAAAAATCCAGAGCTGAAACATAACTGTTAGGTAATACAGCTGCCAACATTCTCCTGGGGCAGGAGACCTTCCTGAGCCTTAGCACTCTGTTTGAGGGTATGAGCATCCTCAGTTTAAGACTGCAATCCTAAAGCAGGAGAGGGGATGGAGAGAACCAGAGGCAGATGAACTGGCTCTTCCCAATATATAGCATCTATTTACATAAAGTGTCAGCCCCCTGCATCTTTACTGCAAAGAACAGTGTGTGTTTTGTTTGTTGTTTAAATAATAATGAAACTGAATCTGTGAATTTTGCCTAGATCGGGAGACAAGGGGCAGCAGCTGTCAGCACGGCTGAGGATAATTTATACATCGTCTGATTTACCCTTCTGGGATTAAAAGGTTGACAGGTTGACACAGGGGTAAAGGTAAATCAGTCTGTTGGATTTCTCTTCTTCTGCTGTGTGCTCTGCCACTAAGTAGTGTGCTTATTGATTGATTTGATTTTTATTTGATTTTTATAGCAATGGGTTGAGTCACAGTGACACAGCCTTAGCTCTCCATTCAGAAGAGATGCTGCTTTGTTGATCAATGGACTAGTATTCCATACTTCATCTTCTCTGGAAGCATTTACCAAGTTTTAATGTAACTACAGTCTTTATTTACTGATATAACCATATTCCCTGGCTATTCAGAACAGGTATTGTTGACTTTTTGGCTCACTTAAATATCAGCTTCCCCACCTCCCCAAAATCCTACCGCTCTCTAAGTTTCCAACTTGCAAAAGTCTAAACTAGCTCTCTGAAAGGGCATGATTATTCAAATCACGTTTCAGAAGGACAAAATAATTTGGAACATGCAAGTGTTGACCAAATATCTACTCAGAAATGTTGGCCAGATAATAGTTCGTCATATATTTGGCAGGTTTTCATATGATTTCCTCCCTTTCAAAATCCTTATTTGTTTATGCATTTATTGAAAATATTTAAATTCCACCTCTCAGTCAAAGCTGGTTCACGAGGGGGCTAACAATATAAAGACGTCATAATAAAAGTGAGCAACTATAGGCAACAAAATATGGCAAAGTAAAAATCACCATAAGTGGTTCAAAAACTGAGGGAAACAGAATCAACTTGTGTAAAAAGCTGAGGTAAAGTTCATCTCTTTCTGAAAGTCACTGGGGATGGAGTCTGGTGAACAAAGGGGGGCATTGCTTCAAAAGGAGGGGTACTCTAAGCAGGGCCTCTGAAAGTGACTTTTAATAGGCAGGCAGGTGGTTCCAAGCCACCTAGGACTCTCAAAGATAAAATTCGGGTTGAACCCAGCAACTTCACTAAGGCCCATCTGCACTATATATTTAAAGCAGTATTTTCATCATCATCATTTTATTTTATAACTTTCCACAGTTAAAAACAATGCTCAAGGCGGCTTACAACATGACAAGATTTACATAATTACAAAAGTCATAAACAATAAATAAACCACATCAAAAAATACAAAACCAAATGGAAAACAATTTCCACATAAATCAAAATCTAAAACTAAGAATACAGCATTAATATCAGAAGGTTGGCGGTTCGAATCCCCACAACGAGGTGAGCTCCCGTTGCTCGGTCCCTGCTCCTGCCAACCTAGCAGTTTGAAAGCACGCCAAAGTGCAAGTAGATAAATAGGTACCGCTCCAGCGGGAAGGTAAATGGCATTTCCATGCTCTGCTCTGGTTCGCCAGAAGCGGCTTAGTCATGCTGGCCACATGACCCGGAAGCTGTACGCCAGCTCCCTCGGCCAATAAAGCGAGATGAGTGCCACAACCCCAGAGTCGGTCACGACTGGACCTAATGGTCAGGGGTCCCTTTACCTTTACCTTTTTTTATCACAGTTCAAAATTACATAGGTAAAAAATAACAGCAATTTTTTATTTTTTTATTTTTTATTTGCTAAGGGTGTTGAAAGTTGTTAGGAGAGACTCATATTCCCCTCACAGCTAGAGAAGGGTTTTTTAACCACTCTGAGTACTGTAGCTCTTCAAGAGAAATGCGGTCTCCTAACAACTCCCTGCACTCTTAAAACAACAGTTTGGGGGCAGCCATGACTTACACACAAAGGTATGGGTCCACAAAAGGTGTTGCACAGTGTTAAAAATTCAGAAAAAGAGATGCCGGAACTCACCATGAATGCCTCCCTTGTTCTCTTACAATGGCAATGGCGCCCGCCTGAGAGGTGCCGGAACTGAGTTCCTGCGAATTCTGGCTGAAGGAAAGCCCTGATGTTGTACATGCAGCTTCTTCATGTGCAGAGCATGCACACTCAATACTTCTGCCAACAGTTAATGCTCACTAGCTTTCAGTAAACAAAATACAAGGAACTGAATAATGGTCATGTGTAACTTCTCTACTGAAACTGAAAGGACTTTGATAACAAGCTTAGGCTTGCCACAATGACCTCTTAAGGTTTTATTTATGCTTATTCTTTATTTTGCTATGTGATCAATCCTGTTTTCATGTAACACAAATAAAAGCTTTCACGTTACTTTTAACATACAATGAAGGCAATGGTTTATGGCTAACGTGATCATAAAATGCACTTGTTTGGCCACCCACTCACAACATGATTTTTACCTGTTAGTCTTAAACTAATGTAATATGCAGCTTGTAGGCCCTTTCCCTACTATTCTTGATGCTCTTATGAGTCAAAAGAATAAGATAATGATTGGAATCATATTTTGTACAAAAATATTCATATCTCACCTCTTTGCCTTGCATTCATTTGCATGATATTTTCAATTTGTAATTAATTTTGTAGTCTATTTTCTCCCCCAAGTACTTCTTAGTTTATTATTCTTATTATTGAATACCGCCTGTGGAACACTGCACCCTGATTAATCGTTGCATGCTTTCTTTTCTCTCTGAAGCATAAACTAGCAAGTATTGTGAATTTGGCACTGTGTAATGTAGCATTTTGCTTGCTGTGCAGCACTAACAAACAACACATCAGTAATCATGCCTAGCTCTCATTTAAATGCAACCTCACACTGCATGTTACAAATATCTGGGAGCTGTGTGATTAGTTAACATCTTGCGCATAACCCTTAAGATTCTAGCAAGTTCTCGGGAGATAATTAGCTTTCAGGGTTCCTCCACTGAAATGAACTCTGGCTCCCTGATGCTTAGCTCCGAATGTTGTGACTGGGAGGAACGGCAGCATGCAAGTGCTTTAGGAAGCACACGTTTATTTGTGGGGAGGGTTTAAGATACAAAAAGTTTCTTGGAGACCCTGCCCTGCCCATTATTGCATTCCTTGAATTCACCCTTGCAACCAAATAAATACATTTATTATTGCTTGCGGGTAGCTTTCCAAAGGGAATTGAAAAATTCACGGAGGACGAGTCTATCAAGGGCTACTATCCACAATGGCTAAGTTCTGCCTACACAGTTGGCAGCAATATGTCTCTGAATACTAGCTGCTGGGAACCGTATATGGGGAGAGTGTTGGTTGGCCTGTGTGAGAACAGATGGGTCTTTGGCCTGAACCTGCAAGGCTTTTCTTATGTTCTGAATTATGTAGCATCACTCTGAATGCCAGTCCCTAGGGAAGAACAGCAGGAGAGGGCTAGTGCACTCCTGTCCTGCTTTCATGCTTCCTGTAGACATCTGTTTGACCACTATGGGAAACATGATTTTGGAGAAGCCTGTTGGGCTTGCCAATCAGAAGGTCGGCAGTTCGAATCCTGGGACGGGGTGAGCTCCCATTGCTCTGTCCCAGCTCCTGCCAACCTAGACAGGCATAGGCAAACTCAGTCCTCCAGATGTTTTGGGACTACAACTCCCATCATCCCTAGCTAACAGGACCAGTGGTCAGGGATGATGGGAATTGTAGACTCAAAACATCTGGAGGGCCGAGTTTGCCTATATCTGACTAATAGTTCGAAAGCACACCAGTGCAAGTAGATAAATAGGTACTGCTGCGATGGGAAGGTAAGCAGCGTTTCCATGCGCTCTTATTTCCGTCATGGTGTCCCATTGCGCCAGAAGCGGTTTAGTCATGCTGGCCACATGACCCGGAAAGCTGTCTGTGGACAAACTCAGCCTGAAAGCGTGATGAGTGCCGCAACCCCATAGTTGCCTTTGACTGGACTTAACCATCCAGAGGTCCTTTGCCTTTTACTTTTACTTTTACCTTTTACCTTTTGGGCCTCTGCTCATACAGAGGTCTGTTTAGTCCTCTATCTCTTGGACTTCTGTCTGCAGGCAAAGACTTTCTTCTTTACAAAGGACCTTCTGAGATGGCTGTCTGCCTCCAGGTTTTAATTTTTTTAAATAAAAAAATAAAAAAATGGGTGATTCAACTGTTTCTGTTTCAATTTGTAAAGCTCAGGGAGCAGTTATGAACCTTGCAAACAGAAACTTTCCTGCTCAGTAAAGAATTGAACTGTCCTATTTTGTTGAGGTTACACTGCATTCAGGAAGTGTCAAGTTCCATTTCTCAATATTCCCATGTGACATGCTGTAGTCATTGCTTAGTGGGCATAGACAATTCGGACCTAGATGGACCAGTGGTTTGTGCTGGTATATGGTAGCTTCTTATATGTTCTGTTTGGCAGGGTTTGCTTATAATTTGTTCTCTGGACCAAATGCCTTCCTTTCATTTATTTTTAGCATCTAAAATTGCTCATCCTTTCCTTTGGGGAGCTAATATGTACAATACCATTTTGGCAAAGATTCCGAACCACATTTACCCCTGCCAGTGACAAAACTTTCTTGCGAAGTAGATATTCCTAAAAAGTAGTTGTGAATAACATCATCTGTGGCCAGTAGTTTATCAAAATATATGATTGGTATTCCTAAATAAGTTTTGTGTGAGCCAAAGGATTAAGTGTGTAATACTGCACACACAACACATGATAACCAGTAATATGTAAGTACAGGTTCCTATTTCTCTGGCCACTTATAGATTATCTAGTGTGCTGTGTTTGTATGCGCATGGTTGAGAGGAGGGGAGCTGTAGCATACCCTGTGTACCAAAATAGTAACCAACTGCTTTGCCAAAATTACATTTCTGTTGCTGCAATGGAGATGGTCAGTTTTGGCCAATGGTGTGTAGGAGATGATTCATCGCAAAGTACCATTTGCTCCTAAGGATCACCTGTAGTGGAGGATACAAAAATAAAGCTTTGGCGGGAGGGAGGGATGATGAATAAGCACTCTGTGCTGAAACAAAGTTCTCCAGTTACCAAACACTTGTTTTGCTTTGTGGGGAACTCTTATACACACACACACATTCTCCCGACACATCGGGGTCTCTATAAACTGACATAATTCACACTGTTCTTCAACAGATGACTTTCAGTCTCTCGCCAATCTTCTCCTTTCAGATCTCTGTTCTGTGAGAAATGGGCCCTCTGTCATATTTTTTCTTCTTCTCAGCAATTTTGTTGCAGGCTCCCCCCACCCCTTGTATATTAATGATCTAAGAGATTTATTATTCAGGTTCTTCTCCGCTTTCTTTTTTTTGTTGTTTGTTGATCTTTTGTTGTTGTTTTCAGCTTAATTTCTATAAATTACTGTACAGTTTCCCATAAGGTATAATTAAGCAGAATTGCTAAAGTTTTAATTATTGTGTATTATAGATGTTGAAAGCAACATTAGCACTTAGCTTTTTAAAATGTGATAGTATATTTATAAGCAAGCATTTATAAACACATTTACATATAGTTAAGATGAAAAAGGTATTTGAATTGTAGTCATTAGCATTTCTTCAAACATATGGCATACCAGCAGAGGCCATGGGCCATGCCTTCATTAGCTGAACACTGTTTCATCAGGATCGCGGCTTCCTGCTGAGGCATCCTGTGGAGTCCCCTTCTGTCCCTGAGGTTTCAGTGACAAGGGACAATATGTCCCCAAGGTGAAAATCTGGGAAATAAAGCAGATTAGCCCTCAGAGGCGTTCTTATGATTATTTAATCACACTTAGAAAAGAACTACACAGTGCCGCTGGAAAAAAAAAGTCTGCCTAACCGAATTCTCTTTCTCTGTGTTGGTTTCTTCAAAGAGCTATCCCTGAGTGCAACAAAGACAGAGAGTGACAACCACTTTTTTATTTTTACTATTACTTCTCCTGCTAGATTTCTTATCTGCCCTTAACCATATGGTCCCTGGGTGGGTTACAACCATTAAAAAATGCAAGTTTACAGTCTGGGTCCTGAAAAATATGCCTCAGGAGTCAAAGGCCAGAGTAAAGAGGTGTGTCTTCGGCATAAGAGGAAAACTCCATAGTGAGGGTGCCAAAGATGCCTCTTTGGGAATGGCACTTCATTTTTATAAAGCTGACCTGATTAAAATTTGCTAGCATGATGGCCAGAATTTGAACAAGTCCTAATAAGGCAGCACAGGTCGGTTATTGTTCATTAGTTTATAATTTTTATTTTTACCTCTCGGATGAAATGTTTCTTAAGGAAGGCATGTGCAGGATTTTCATTTTAGGGTGCTTTTTTTTAAAAAAGAGAAAGAAATAAAAAAATATCATCAAATAAATGTCATGACCATATTTTATTTGTGAATTTCTCAGGTATATAAAGAGAGCTTAATATGACAAGCAAAAGCATTTGTCTCAGGGCATTAGTCTCTTTCACACCCTGCCTGCCACATATATCATTGTAATATGATACCCTTTGGAACAAAACATAGACTTTGAAACATCAGAATAAATGTACTGCAAAAACAATGCATGCATTTCATTTATCACAATGTTGTTTTGAAAGGATTTAATGTTTTAAAGATACCTTTTTCCTTCAGCAATACACTCACGGCTGTTATTAATTTGGGAATAGATGGTGAAGCAATAGATATTGGCCGGAACAGAACTTTGTGCTGTTTTGTCAGATGTTGCCCCAGATTCCTCTGTTATTTTAGTTCATAACTGGCTTGAAAATGTCAGTGGTGTTAATCTTAAATCTAGCACAGACCTCAAGGTGTATTTCAGCAGTCGAGGTTTTATCTGGGCTAATCTTGAGAGTAACAACACCGTTCCATCTTTGCTGCCAAAGGACAAACATTAGTTTGATGATGTCGGGGACTGGACAGAGGAGGAATGGTGGAGAACGCCTGCCCAGCCTGACCCTTCCAGAGAAGAGGAAGACAGTTCAGAATTACAACAGGGGTTTGAGGGAGGTCACAGCTCAGAGAAAGATGAGGGGGAAAGTTGGGAGATAATGGGAGAGGAGGAGCAGGCAGAGCTGGAGCAGCAGCTGGCTGACATGTTATCACTAGGAAGCATTCCAGACCCACCATCTCTCAGAACCCGGCGAGCCTTAAAAGTAGGAGAGCAAAGAGCTCAAAGACAGATTGCAACCGTAAGCGGCAACCATAGAGGGGGTGATGCTGATGACAAATGAGGAAGTGGGAGAGAAGCGGGGTGGAGATTTACTCGGGACAATGACATTATCCAAGAGGCTGGGTTCTATAGCCTCTCTCTGTAAATATTGAATAAAAAGTGGATGGTTAGAACTTTTCCTTGTCTTTGTACGTTCCTGGCAACTGGCTATAGGAGTTGCTTATAGCCGTTGGACAGACACTAGTTGATAGAGTGTGAAGGGATTGCAAAAATGACAAAAGGGAATGCAAGAAGAGCAACTTGATGAAGAAGTAATTAGCTCTCATGAAGCTTGAGGTCTGACTTGAATAGGCATGAGCGAATTTGTCAATTTCAGTTTCTCATTTCTCCAACCTTAAATTTGGTTCCCCACATTTCCACATCAGTTTGCGATTTTTTAAAAAAAAATCATTCTCATGAAAATTCATCAGTATTTTAGCACAAATTCCACATTCCCAGCATGTTTGCACTCCTGTCAGAGCGACGTCTATACTGGCTTGGTCATGTGTACAGAATGGAAGATGGCAGGATCCCCAGGGATTTGCTCTATGAGGACTGGCTTCAGGCAGCAGGCCTGTTGGCAGACCAACTCTGCATTACAAAGGTATCTGCAAACGTGACATGAAGACTGGCAACATTAACCCCGTCATATGGGAATCCCTTGCTGATGACCGCAGTGCCTGGAGACAAGCAGTCAGGACATGCAACCATAGCAGTGACCAGAGGAGGAAGGAGTGCTGAAAGAAAACATTTTTCTCCACATTGGTCTCTATAGCTACACCAGGCACTGTAACCTTCTAACTGTTTGGCTTCATTCCTAAAGGTTCAGTCCTCTGTTGTCTCCCAAGACAGATGTATCCCAACGGCTCTTAATATATATGCATTTTGGTATGCAATTTTGTCTTATAGACACAATTTTCCAAAGCATTTTCCCCCAATACAAGGTATTTTATATGCAATTTTCACTAATATATATGCATTTTTCTGCACATTTTACCCCGGTGCATGCATTTTTGCTCAGGTGACTTGGCTAGAAAACTGAATTGCAAAATTCGGAGAGATGCGAATTTGGAAGGATGGTAGTGTCCAAAACACATTGTTTTGGAAAGTATGAATTAGGTAGGTTCACTTTTGAATGCCAACTAAAACCAAGGTCTCCCCCAGCCCTAGACTTGACTCCCGTAATAGAAATAGAGCAGGCAGCTCAGTCAAAGAGCCTTTGCTTGACATGCAGGAAGTTCCAGGTTCCATCCCTTACATCTCCAAGCAGGGCTGTGAAACATCTCTTCCCTGAAACCCTGAAGAATCTGCTCATCCATAGAGACAATAATAAGCTGCATGGACTAATAGACTCAGTAGAAGGCAGCTTCCCATGTTCCTAGAGTAGGTTTGTCGGATCTCTAGATAATGCCTTGCCTGGGTCACCAAATCTACAGGCCTGGATGCTACAGAACACTGAGAGGAAAGAATACAAGACAGCACCACGCTGTTACGTTTCATCCCTGGCAATTGGCAGTATTATGCTGCTCTATCCTTATCCTCCTCTCCTTCCAATTGGCCAGACAGTACAGGAAGAAGCAGATTAGTGAAGTGGAGGCAAAGGGAAGAGGGGACACAGACCTGCATGGTATTGGTTATGCCTATAGGGCAGTGGTGGTGTCACCAGTTGCACCACAAGCAGTGGAAATGTGTTTGCATTTTTACTTATTTTTGTGGTTATTTCCATTACCCCCCTTCGTCACTATGATTCCCGGGTAGTTTACAACAAATTCACATCACTACAGGAGATCAAATAAAATATAATCATCACAGTAGATTTTCATCAGTTTCCACTTACAGCAGCCAGTTGAATTATTTTAATTCTATTAGCCACCCAAACATTTGCACGAATACACAGGCCTCACACAGAAGCTTATCAGAATTGGTAACTGCCTCATTGGTAACCGCCTCGTTAGTAACTGCATTAGTTGTTTCCTTGTATGGAAATGCCTCCCACTTCACTGTTCCACCTCAACCATTTCCACCTGGAAATGAGAGGAATGGAGCACCTGGCCTGCTCAATATCCACACCACATTTTGGGCAGGTTGGCAGAAGCTGGTGGCCACAATGGTTGATTTTGGGGAGATATTGCTGCTATCTTTGTCATAAGCCCCTTTGAGGAGGAATGGTGGGAGCCACCCCCTCCCCCTGCTCCTGATCCGGATCCTGAATCATCCCAGGAGCAGGAGGATAGTATAGATTTGGAATAGTGGTTTGCAGAGGGACATAGTTCAGAAGGCAGAAGCTGGGAAATACTGCATGGGGAACAGCTAGGAGAAAAACAGTGGAAGAGAGAGGGTTAACAGATCCACAGTCTCTGGACAGCATTCCTCCACTCAGCCCAAGGTCAAGAAGAGCTCAGAAAGTCTCAGAGAAGAAAGCACAGCGGGTACAAGCTCAGATTACAAGATGTAGGAGCGACATAGTTTAATAGGGACGGAAGGTGGTGTGATGCTTAATTTGGAGCACCACCATTTCTAGGAGATATGTTCTTTGTTCTCTCGCTGTGATTATTAAAGTTTCTAACTGGTAAGATGTTCCTTTCCTTTGATCTTCTTATTTACTGCCACAGGGGGAGGAAGCCGATTCCCCGAAGCCTGACAATGAGTAAATATGTATTGCAAGTGTTGGGAAAATAACTATACTGGATCCATATTTATATCCTACCATTTCAGAAAACCACCCCTCTTTGAAGATGATGTCTGAAAGATCCACAGCTTCTAGGCCTGAATTTTAATTCCATGGCTTATTCTGGCACCCATGTGTCTCAAGAGACAATGTTGTGCTCCTCTGGGGGTGAAGCCAAACTGCTGTGTTAGCAGCACCAATGTGACCTCCCTGGGGCACAAGTCTGAGCAGTGTGTATGCTCAGTCCTGGCATGCCCAAATGACAAGACCCTATCTCTTGGCTTCACTGTTGTGGTCCAAAGGAAAGCAGAGCAATACGTTTGGCACCAGCTTGGCTACAGGAAACGGAAGGTTTTCCTGAACCGAAAGAAGCGTCTCAACTCAGAAGCCACCTTTAAAAATACTTTTCCGATATCAAGTCCCAGTAATGTTGATTGTTTGTCTTATATTCTAGCTGTCCCTATTTATTTATTTTTGCACATCTGTGCCTCTTTTCTGCCCACGCCTTGTTTAAATGTTGTTAGGTTATCAACTCCCAACAAGTCACAGGTCCCGTCTGCAATATACATTTAAAGCATGCTAAGAGACCCCTCCTCCCTTCACGAAGCTGCAGTTCTGAAAGTTGGTTTAATGATCGAGACGACCTCCACAGGGTGTCTAAAAGTAAACTTTCTAAGTGGCGTAATGGTCTAATCTTGTTTCTAGTACACAGATATGTAATGACTGCACATGAACACAAAAGCACCATGCAGGGTGCAGTAGATGCCGTTTCACATAAAGGAATGCATAACTGGCCTTCCAGACCTCTCTATCAGGCCCTCAGGCCTCTTCCCAAGTCATACTCCTCACAACCCTTGTTCTGTGCCCTCCTCTC